GAGATACGGTGTCCAAACAGCCCTACAAAACCATTAGAGGTGTTATTTGAATAATATTAGATGTTTTAAGAGCTATAATATTAGGTTTTATAGTTGAATGGATTATATAATCAACTCTTAATATTGTAGGGCGTTATATAGACTTTTTACTATTGTTTATCGACTCTTAGACATGTGAGCACTCACTTAATATATGACATCAGCGAAACCACCTTAGAGGTTATTTATATGGTTTCCCGTAGTTTAATAAGGTGTAAAATTACCTGGTTTTATATGTGAGGAGGTGAGGTGGACTACCATTAAGTAGACTTTTACTTTCAGAAAATCACATCATCGGATTAGTGTAGATTCATTTTTCTGTGAAACACTATTTAGCAATTCCGGACTCTACCAAACATGTTATTGTGGCATCGATCTAAAGGCCCGTTGGCCCGGTCCGCGTTTTGATGGGCGGGGGGCGGGTGAAAGAAACAGGCACCATCGCCACTACCCAGCAGAATCCTCGATCCCACTACCGAGTAGTTCGTGATAGCCAGCTTAACCTGCTTTTCTTTAGCCAGGGTAGTGCTCCTCTCTCCCCACCACCACTATCCCTGCCTTGTCCTCCTCGACCTAGACCCTCTCGCTCCTCCTGCGTCCTCTTCCTCTCTCGATCGTCTGTGTCCCGGCCTCCCCTGCTTCTCCTCTAGCATGCTCCCCTCCATATATACATATCCCACAGATGTTGCTTGCTTCCATGAACTAGCTAATTAACCTCTCAATCAGTCTCCCGCATAGCTAGCAGCAGAATCTATCCTCCTTGTGTGTGTGTGTACACACACACACACACACACACACACACACACACACACGTACTAGGCTCTGGTCGATGATGGCGTGTCCGAGCCAAGGAAGAAGACAGCAGAAGCTAGCAAACATCATGAGTGGTGCCATGGACATGGTGCGAACCGCGTGACCCAACAAACTACACACACCTAGGAGAGACCAGAGAGATTCAGAGCTCAGAGGCGCGCGTGCGTGCACGTAAGGATGTGCTGAGGAGGAAAAGAGAGGGCGGAGAGGGGAGAATTAAGGTTCTCGTACGTCTTTTTGCTGCTTGCCGGTCGGCCATCGATCATGTGGGGCCTGGTGCGGCAGGGCCTGCGATGGGGCCGGCGGCGGCGGACGGCGCGGGTGGTGGACGAGAGCGCGCTCGGTGCAGACGGCGACGTTGACGGTGGCGCCGCCGCTCCGCCGGCCGCTGGCGGCGCGGTGGCGGCGCCGACGCTGGGCAGCGCCCTGGCCAGGGCGCTGCTGGCGCTGGCGTGCGCCATCCGCTTCGACGGCGAGGACGTCGGCGCGACCGAGGAGGCGTGGGCCGCCACCGGGTGGTGCCCGCGCGCCGACGAGGTCAGCCACCTCATGGTGCGCGAGAGCATGCGCTACGCCATCTACGCCTAGCCGTACATGTACTCCGTACTTTGCAGAGTATGATTCTACGTCCCTATATACATACGTATCCATGCATGCATGTACCATTTGGGTATGTGTATGTAGGTGTTATTGTGTTAAACAACATATATATTTACGTAGCAGGTTGAGATGGTGCATAGTGTATAGAGTACTGTATCTCGTATTCTTGTACGCGGTGGTCCCTACTAGCTAGTCTACTAGGAGGGTCTAGGACGGACAATAAAGTTCTGTGATGTGGAATTGTTGGCAAGGATAAAGAATCACCAAAAATTGCATGTCAAATTGGCACTATATATATTCCTCCTCCGTGTCCATGTAATTCTTGGCCTTCTTTGGAGTTTTGTTTAGTTTTGGCATTCGGAACTTGGATTTCAGCTTTTTTATACGTGAAGTTTCAGCTGGTGCAAAAATGCTCTTTCTTCGCGAATACGGTCCGAAAATGATGTGCCACTGTCACTACGACAGATCTTTGGGGTGAAGAAAGACAAACTGGCCGGACTGCAATTTCAGAAGTTCACCACAACTTTATTCCTACCAATTTGAGCTAATTAACCGCTGCAAAAGTTTCTTAGGTATACATAGACCGAAGTCCAAAGGTTAGGTTGGCCAAAATCTTTTGGTCTCGACCAAAAAGTAGAACCCTTTGCTCTGTTACTTTGTGTCCTCAATAATTCCTCTGCCGTACTGCAAAGTTTTCAAAAGTGTGTTTGCTCAGGTTATCTTTAGAGCAAAGAAGTTGTATTTCCCATCAGACAGAGAACTTTGTCTACAAGGATTTGTGTAATCTTTGTTTTTTTCATTTTCATGTAACCTTTTTGTTTGAATACTATATATTTGAGATATATATAACCAGTAACTGGAAATCACTCCTGTTTCATTGGCGAAGGTTACTCCAAACTCACCTCAGTTGGCAAAAAGGGTTGATGGTGTCCGCGTGGCAAAAAATGTATTTCATGATAAATCGTGCAAACTCTGTAATTTTGTGATAGTTTTACGGTTGGCACATAAGTGTACTCTGTCCAAATTTACTTGGATTGGAAACAATTTCAACATGAGCCCGGCAGCCCGCAGGTGATAGAATGTTCCTGAGCCTTGACTTGGGCAGCACCGCATGCAGCAGATCAGAATTGACAGTGAAGGTACAGAGGTGTGAAGAACCAAAACTGAACGGCTGTGCCAGAAGATCATCTGTTACAGATCACTTGAGGCTTGAGCTGAGAACCACCCCTAGTCTGAAGTCTGAACTGAACAGATTTGACGATCATGGTTGGTATCTTCTATCTGTGGTGACTGGTGAGCGCATCATCACCATCATCATCGTCGGTCACCAGTTCATGCGTAGTCGATCCGTGTGCAAGCCAGCAGGGCCCTCCAGAAAATCCGCAGCAACCATCTTCCTGAATATACTAGTATGCGTTTGCAGACATACCGGATACGTGGCGCGATGATGATCACCGCATTTCCATCAACTTTCCAAAATTGCCAATCAGCATGAGTCATGCCGCAGCATGATCTGAAGAAGAACAAACATCATGTCATTCAAAACTCCCCTTTACCAATGCAAGAATACTTCTGGATTCTGATTGTCTCCATGGATGGAATGCCTGATTCACCAACATCCACAGATAGTGCTCGCTTAATTAGCTAGTGCAGGCAGAAAGTTCATTGCAGCGTGCATGGTGAATTGGTGATGGTGGCCATCTAAACACGGACAGTATTTTCTTCCTCTGCTGCGTTCATGTCACAAGCTGCTGCTGCTGCCTGCCTGATTTGGCTGTGCAGGTAGGGCAGGGGCACGCAGCATGCACCATCTGCGGTGGAGCCATCGATAGCTTCACACAGAGCTAGATGCGCTTATGTGTGGTTGGTGGATCATATAGCCTCTGAGAATTGAGTTGATGATAAGCCTCTGGATCAATCACAGGCTTCCAGATAAGGGAGGGTTACAGCCTGTTCGGGAGGCCATATCGTATCGTGGATTATTTACTACTGGCTGGTTTGGTGTGAGAGCTCGATGTCTGAAGCAAACAGAACCTAATGGCCTCACTATGAACATAGATCTACCTATAGAATCACTAGGAACATAGATCTAGCCGGTTACTTACTGTTGAATAGAATCACGAGCCCTAGTACATCTACTATTGCAACGAGAGACATAGAGGGGTGGAGTAAAGATGGACGTGTCAAACATGACACCGCAGTGAAAGATCCGCTCGCGTCCGCCATGGAGTTGATCTGCGCTAGGGCAGCGATGGTCGGGGAAGAGGACGTCGGTGATGGGAAGTGGCGACCGACGGTGAAGGCAGTGAAGTCCGGTGACGCAGTCCGGAGGCGGCGCGGCTGGTGGCTTCCCGTCACTGGCTGCGCCCCTCTCTGATCGGATTAGGGTTTAGATGTCGGTGGGGAGCTCGGCTCAGGTCAACCTCGTGATAAGAGCCGCCGGCCCCCACCTCTTTTTATAGCGCAGTGTGACAGGGGCCCTCCAGCCATGGTGGGCTGGGCGCCCCCGATCATGGCGTGAATCAAATGCCCAACTGGGCCATTGGGTCCCGTTAGGATTAGAGATCAATCTAACACTGTCTCCTCCTTTCAGGCTACAGATAAGGGTGGGTTAATGGAGAAAAGTCATTGCATTAGTCAACGCCCGAGCTACCTCCATTTGGTCATGGCACGAGTAAGCACAGCAAATGCAAGTAATTGGTTTGTTGTTTCTGGGGTTGAGATGAGATGGATGGATGAGGTGGTGGGGACGTAGGGGCAAAGGTGGCCTGCAGTGGCGGTTGGTGATCTTTTATTCTCAGCCCAGGACACCATGGGGACAGCTTTGCCACTGCTTGAGAGGCATTGGGCAAGGGTCAACCCTCAACAGGGAGATTAGTACTCTGTCATGTTATGGGAATATGGATGAATGGATGATGCATTACATGTTGTCTCAAGTTGAGGAAAACTTGGACTCTGTTTTCTTCTGAAGGAGTTGGCAGGGTGACCCAGTGTTCAGTTCAGGTAGGACTTCGACTATTTGAGGTGTAGTATCATAGTTCGGAAACTTCAGACGGCTAAAGATGCTGACAACAGATTTCACCTGATTACGTTACATGGATCAGCAATGCTACTTCAGATTTGCCTTGGCTTTCAGCAAAGTGACCTCATTTCTTGGTTTACTTGTAGCATCAAGTGCCACGTAGAATCGAATAAAAAAAATATGTACTCTTTATTTGTTATAGTGGCTTGCAGAAGCTATATATGCTTTGAGAGAGAAAGTGGTCTATGCTAAAAAAGAAGAGGGAGAGGAAATAAAGGTGAGGCACGATGAAAGCAAAAAGTTTTTGTACAAACCACAAGTAGTAATAGTTTGCATTATGTGAATAGTAGTATCAAAGGAGAGGAAATAAAGGTGAGGCATGATAAAAACAAAAAGTTTCTGTACAAACCACAAGTAGTGATAGTTTGCATTATGTAAATAGTAGTATCAACATTTCCTAGTCTATGTGGATCACTTTATTTATACTAGACCTAAGAGTGTTAGCCTCCATCGGTCGGTGGTGCCCTTAGCTTCTCTCCTCGTTTCTTTTTCTTTTTTGAAAATGTCTCCTGATTTCCTTGAACTCTCTGCCTTGTGTGTTGGGTCTCCAGTTATAGAATCTGATGAGTGACCGTACGTACTTCACTATGTGCCACACACTGACGGTGGGGGTATTTAGATCATCCATCTGCAGAGTAAAACGAAGAGTTAGTAACAAAGAAGTATCCTAGCGAAACATTCAGACGAACTCTTTCAGACAATCTGCAACGAGGCTGAACAACAAAGACCAGCAAATCTGCCAAATTACCCAGAGGCTGCCCGTTACCTCGACCAAATTGCATCAGTAACCATAATATTTTTTTCTTCAGGAAACGATTGCATCAACAGATTGCGCACACGCAACGTCAACCGAGAATTGGAAACCATATCTCGATCCTCGATGGAGATTCAGTACACACTCGCTAGTGCGTCACGAGAGCGAAGGAACCGAGGGAAAGAAGAAAGAGAGAGAGCACTCGCACCACGGCTGCGCCGCCCCGCTGGTGGTGCTGCCGTTGCCGCCCAATCGGAGCGACTCCAGGACACGTTTTTCACCTGTCAGGACCTCGACCAGCCCTTGCGATCCACAAAACAAAACAAAACAAAGAAAGGATGAGGCGGATCGCACTACCACGACGATTTTGCAATGGCGATGATGACTATGAGCGAGGGCCTCTGACGGATTACCGTTAGTGTAGTCCCGGCAGTCGTGCTCCCCGACTACCAGGCCGGTCGGCCACCGCTCGCTGAACCTGCCGGCGGCGGCAACGGCGTCGTCGTCCCCGTCGCGGCAGCAGTGCCCGACGAGCCAGCACCGCCGGTCCGGGATCCTCCGCAGCGTCCTTCTACGAACCACGCCCACGCGAACAGGACGCTGAACATCCATCCATCCATTGCAGTTGCAGGAGCAGGACAAATAAATCCTCGCCATGGCAGGACAGGACAGATAGGCTCTCGCCGTGGCACGAATCAATCAATCAACCGCGAAGGAAGGCGAAGGGTTTTACCATACCAGGGATCTCTCTCCGGGACAGCACCGCGAGCGCGGCGAGGGCGTCCTCCGGGTCCCGCGGCTGGAAATCGAACACTAGCGCCTGGGCCAGGGCCGGGTCGGGCCGCAGGAGCATCATGAAGTGCTGCAGGTCCCACATGCCCAGAGATTAGCCCGCCGACATCAGCAGCTGCGCGGGGCCCCTGGGCGCCCGCAGGGGCACCGCCGCCACGTACACGGCCGCGTGCGTCGCCGGCATCGAGGCGGGAGGCGGCATGGATGGGCGACGGACAGGCAGAAGACGCGACGATTGGCTGCGGCCGCGCCGTGGCCACACGCGAAACCCGCGGTTGTCAGTGAACACGGCGTGGCGTCCCCAACTCCCAACGGAGCGGAGGGTGGATGGTGGCGCCCAGCCCAGCCGGTGGACGTCGCTCCTCCGCCGATGGCTGCTAGGGTACTGCTACTCTTCTGACTTGGCAGCTCTTGCGTGGCAAGTGGCATAATTGACTGCTCCAGTACAAATCTCCAATGTGCATTCCATAGTCCAATCCAATCACATCCTTTTCAGATTGCAGAACAGAATGATTCATTGGAGATTACTGCTACTCTTCTCACATTCTGAATGAACGAATGCTCAGTTCGGTGAGATTGTAACACTACGAACTAGAATTTAGGCGACCAAAGTAGTGATTAACATTCAGTCACACGTCGTCGGGATACATGGACTAATAAGATGGACTAACAACCAGTTAGGCTACACTAAAATTAGCCCACTCATTTATATGGCCTAGGGCTAACTTGTGGTTAGTTCAGTATTCAAAACAATGCCCTATATGTGAACTTAACGATATGGATTCAGACTTAGAGAAAGCCAAGTATTTGGTGCAAACTCCTCGCAAGAAAAGAAAAAAAAAATTATTCAATGCAAACCCCCCTCAACACTACAAACGTGAAAATCTTACTAGAAAAAATATACTTCGAAGTATTAAAATTAAAAAAAATGAAATGATACATATCGATACGTAATGCATGTGTAAATGTACTTTGTTTTGCCAAGCTGACCTGATTCGGCGCTGCTGTGGCCACACGTGAAACATGGCATCATTTCCAAAAAAAAAAACAATCCAAAGAGTAAAATGCAAAGGTGTCACGACACTGGTGACTGATGCCACTGAAGAAGATGACCGAAGAACTGATGATGGACCTGAAGGCAATACAGGATTGGAGGCGGTAAAGTCTGTCATCACGAAGAGGCCCAAAAGGGTGACCCAGCCCAGTTTGAAGTATGCCGGCCCAGACTGGGTGGCCCACGGATGAAGAAGCCGTGTGGAATCCGAACTCTGTAGAAACGTTAACTAGCTTCTAAGAGGAAGGGAGAGGTAGGAAGGAAGAAGACGGTAGTGTCGGGGGCGAGCGGTAGCTCGATGTATCCCTAATCCAGTACTCACTTTTGTGTTAATGCAATCCGGATATCGTAATATTCGTATCAAAAGTGTGAGCTCTCCAGCGTGTCAGAAGGCCTAAACCCTCTGCCTTACCACGGCCACGGCCACGGCCCACCGCCCGACCCTCCCTTGCTGGCAGCCTGGCACCATGGCTCGAATCGGACCTTCCCCACTGGATCGGAGGCGACGGCGAGGTTCGCCAGCATCCTGCGGAGCGTCATCTGGTCACGCCACCACGGCGCTCCGTGCCCGCCTCACAATCGCCGTGCAGGTAGATAGCCGCCTCAATCGCTCGCGGTCGCGGGGGCTCGGCCGCTCTAGCACAAGGTGCGCGCCAATGCGACGCGGTGGCCGCGGCATGCGCTGCCGGTCTCTTCCTCGTCCTCTACGAGACGAGAACACACATCCACACGGTCTGGGGTTGGAGCCGGAGCCGGCCCCTCCGGTGGCCTTCTTTCAAATTTCAATACGTAAATACGTTGCCTGCAACTCACGTCACGTTCCTTGACACCAAGCCACCTGTAGTATCTTCGTCGAGTTGTTGTGCGCATGCAACATGTTCGACGAAATGTACTTACGCCATTTGTGGCGACTGCACGCCGTGTCGTCATCGTTTGGGTGCTTCACTGCTTCCTGCTTCCGCCGGAATGTCCACCGCGTTGAGTTATTCGCGTCTGTGCAGGCTGCCAAGGTGGCTGCGCTCGTCACACGGACTCGGCCACATTCCAGGTGTCTGTGACTCCTATACGGCTACATCAACATGGTGTCCGTGTGGCCTTCCAGCCGGAGGATATGCTGCCGGACACTAGACACCTGCAAACAGCCTGCACGCACACAGTTTGCCCGGCGGGAGCCTGTCTTCCATCTGCGAGCCAAGCTGGTTTGATATGGAAACTAATCACGCCCTTGAAAGCACATGACATCTAGCATCGATGCTCATGGAATGTGGAGCTAGTTTGTCAGAACACCACGGCAGCGGGCTTTGGTTAGTACCTCGCCGCGACTGTGTCGGATGGAGAGGAGGCGTTGGCCAACAACTTTAGTTTTAGTGGTATTATAGAACAAAAAAAAAACAGCTTCACTAGTGAAGCCAGCCGAACTGCGCTAAACTGACTCTAAATATCATTATTTCAGTTTCAGATGCCATCAGATTTAATGAACTACTTAAAAAGTTCATAGATAAAAAACAATTTTAGAGTTGATGGACCACTTAAAAAGTTCATAGATTAAAAAAATTACAATTTTAGAATTGATAGACCTAGATAACACTGCTCACAAGTTATTGGACCTCTAATATATTTTACTCCTTTTCAAAACTCCCAAGTGCTTGTTTGGAACTTTGGATACACTCTAATTCACCCCAATCCACATGAGTTGGCAAAGATTTGGGTAGAAAATTAACTAATTGTACACCGCAATCCCTTCAAATCCATGTGGATTAAGATGGATTAGAGGGCATTCAAACAAACCCTTAGTATGTTTGCAGTCAATATTTTGCCCCCCAGAGGCAGGTTGAGGAAAGATGACCTGAACAATGCATCACCACACATATGTACCAAAATGTACCTAGAGGCAGCGGCAGCACACACAAGTGCCACCGTTGAGGTATCAAGCTGAACATACATCCATCCTCCAAAACACCGGACAGAACAAAAAAAGAATCGCTACATAAAGGTGGTGGAAAGAATTGCTATTAGCAGTTCAATGTGAAATCCCCAGCTCTAATGTGCCCACGCCGCATATGATGTTGTGCAGGAATATCTTCAGATGAGGAGGGAAGCACATAGCATCAGCAATGTGACGAGGATCGAGACATCGGTCTGCATTCTGAGGGTGGCATGCGAAGGCGATGCAGGCGTGGTGGTGTTACTGACTGGAGGTAGGGATGGTTCTGCGACGTCAGCATCCGTCAAGAGTGGCATTGGGGCTGCTGCTGGTGGCTGTTTATTTTCGGGCATGGTTGAAAGGAGGCCACCAGGTTCCGGATGCGACATAAAGAGTGGTGCGTTCTTTCCCATGCTCGTGCAGGAGTTCACTGTGACCAATAAATTCATCGAGAACTTCATATATTTGAATCACTTAACAAATGATACAGTACTTGTGAAATTGTAATCAGAAACTTACATTTGTATCTGTGAGCAGTCCCAGGGAAATCAGTGATGACCCCATCCACATTAGCACCTTGCACATAAGCATTAATCTGTGCAGTAGCGTCTGCGAAGAAGTCATTTGGTTGAGAACCAAACTCATTCATGAGCACGTAAACGTAAACTTGGAGGCCAGCAGAATGAAGGGTCGGAACAAGATTATTGGTCTGGTTTGTCAAATAATAATGGGTTTCCGGGAAAACAGATGTGGTGCTAACAGAAACAGCATTAGCAAACTTCTTAATATCTGCAAGGGAAGAAGGTGCAGCATCTCTGACATTTTCTTCAATCATGTAGACAAGGTTGTACTTGGTTTCCTGCTTGAACTTCACTAGAACTGAGCTGTTGGTTGACTGAATCATAACATTCTGGGCAGTCTGCTTGTTATAACCAGAGTCATCAAGGGCTTTGATCACTGCATCTACCACACCAAATCCAAGCTCCTCTGCCATGAAGGCAGCATGCTGCAAGAATTAAAAAGAGAAGGGAGAATGAGGTGTGGTGAGGACTTGCAAGAACTCCACCACATGAGACATAAAAAAGGGATTGGCTTTGCTCCAGTCATCCTTTCGTAGGGTAAGTTCACAGATTTTAAACCATGTCAAGTGTAGCTAGTTAGGGGGTAAAATCACATTATTTACTTTAACTTCAGGTTCTTCGCAAGCAAGTTCTAGACATAGAAATGCTAGTTAACCTAGTGAAGGATTAAGTAGCTAAAATATCTATGAACTGGTCACTGTGATTTTTAATTCTACTAGATTACTTGTGGGCTTGTGGCAGGGTCAAAACTAGACTAGATGGGTGAGGCATAGGGTTGAGTGGCCCAACTGTCAACGCTCTCATCAAGGTTCTGTACCAGAATGAAGTTTGAGGGTCACTAATCTAGAAATATTTGTCATTTATTTGGATCCTGCCAGTCTAGTCTTTAATCATATAAATAAATAAAAAATCACTAACTGTACAGGTTGTGTTTTCAGATCTGTGAACTTTTTTCTATGAAAAAAAAATGATTATCAAGTAATCCCTAAAAGGCATTGCTCTCGGTGCAGTATACTTGATAAATGGTAAGAGATTTGGAACAACACTATAGCCAACTCCATATCACTCAAATCTAGGTTCACACTAAAAAAAAGGGCGTACCCAGTGCAGAGAGCTCCCGCTTTGTGCGGGGTCTGGGAAGGGTGTCAGTGGCAAGCCTTACCCTCGCCTGTGCAATACGAGGAGACCGCGACTCAAACCCGGGACCTTCCGGTCACAGGCGGTAAGACTCTACCGCTTGCACCAGGCCCGCCCTTCAAATCTAGGTTCACACTAGATATAACATTTTTCCACATCATTAGTTTCTTACCTCAACAGTTATCATGATTCCTGACAGATCCTTTCCCTTTGCAAAGGTCAAAAAGTCTGATAATCTCATGAAATTTCCTGCATTCTTGTTTCTGGGATTTCTGTACTGGTGAAAGTAGATCGCTGGGTTCGATATCATGGCTGCCAATAAAAAATGTTAGTCTTGAAGCAAATGCATGATCAGTTGTGAAGAAAAAATTACAGATGGGCCATTAACT